GGTGGCGGGAGGATGTGGAAGGATTGGGTGTGACCATCATGGGGCACAGAGTGGCTTCCTGGAGGGATGAAAATGTTCTCAAACTGACTGCTGGGTGCCCAGCTCTAAGAATATCCCAGAAGCCACATCAGTACACATCAGTACGCTTTGAACAGGACGCTGGTGTGGTATATGAATTAGGTCTCTATAGAGCTGTTTAAAAAAGTAAGACTTCATCAAGAAAATGGGCTTTTTGTTTCAGCTACTAGGTTGGTCTAAAGCCCACTTGCTAAGACTGATGTGTAGTTGGAAGTTGAGTCAGTCTCGTCTCACGATGAGAAGATAGTGCAGAGTGGAATGCTGGCTATTATGGAACACCTGCTGGAAGGACAGAGTCTGAATCTCAAGGTGGCCCCATGAGCTTCCTGTTGGCCCCCTCCCCCCGGGGGGTGCAGCAGACCAGCACAGATGCTCAGGCCATGGATGGGGCAGGTTCTGGGCCACCTGTTTCAGTGAAGCAAACCCCTTTCCTGGAGTTGCAGAGGTGGCCTGATTTCCTCAGCAACGCCCCCACCCCCCGAGTCCTGTCCCACTTACAACCTACCTTACACCCCAAATTATATGTGAACTCGGCCAAGCTTGGTTCCCTGCCTGGATCTAAGCAGTTTCAAAATAACACAACCTGGGGGTAGGGAGGGGGTAGGAAATACAGCTTCTGTTACCCACTGCCTCGCCCCTAGCTGCTCACTCTCTAGTAAGAATTGAGTGGTGGCATTTAAGACAATGAATTGTATTTTCTAAAACTGTCTTCCTAATCTGTAAGTCTGTGTGGGTGAGAAGTATGCCCACAGTGCCTCATTTCTGACCAGCGAATGTCGGTGTTCGTGTTCCCGCAGGTTCACCAGAGTGGCTCGGGCTGGTCTCCAGTGGTGAGTTTTCACACCTTTGCCTTATTTGCAAGGCAGTGTGCCCTGGGTCATGTGTTCAGAACGGATATGGTTTGGGCTGGCAGCACCTTCCTCAACCCAACTGTTGATCCATCAACGAGTATTGATAGGGGCATTCTTCTAGGCTCAGGGAACACAAGTAAGGTCAGGGATTGGCAGACCGTTTCTGTAAAGGGTCAGACGGTACGTATTTTCAGTGTATGGGCCATACACTATCCACCATTATAGTGTGAAAGTCGTAGTATGTAAATGAATGACCGTGGCTGTATTCCAGTAAAACTTTATAGAAGACCCGGAGGCGGGCCAGGTTTGGCCCGAGGGACCACAGTTTGCCAGCCAGGCGAGGGACTGCTGCCGTGGTTCCCACACTGCAGCATGTGGCCCCGGGGTGCCTCGTTCCAGTCCCCCAGTACGGTAACCCTCCTTCCCCCAAAATGATTTGTGGATTCAAAGAATGAATAGGCCCAGAGATCACACGGTCATTTTGTTCTCAAAATGGTTTTTTCAGTCTGAGCTCCGATAAACGACAAGGAAGTGTTATGTGCTGTGGTTTTAAGTGTTCTTTGCTTTATCCTCCAGTTCGTGGAAGACAACCTGGGGGTGATGTCAGTGGGTTTCCTACTCAGCAGTCCTGATGATGCCGTTATCTGGAGGGGACCAAAGAAAAATGGTTTGCCACTCTTTTTCTCTGTGAGCACAATCTTCCAAGAGCAGAACTGCTTTAGGTTTCCTTTTCAGCCTGTCCCATCAGGACGGCAATAGTGCCCTGCTGGGCTTTGCAGAGGATCATGGTTAAGCATCTGGTTGCCTCTGTCTTGGCTGGTTGAAGAGAGCTAATAAAAATGGAGAACTGATAGAAATAGCGACCGTGATAACCACTACACTACGGAAACGGGATAAAATTGTTTTATGTTTACTGCGAGTGTTTCTGTATTTGAAACCTAGGTAACTCTGAATTTGTTTTTACTGTGGTTTTATAATAGCTTATTTATGTCCAGGAAGTGTGTGAGGTGAAATCCTAGCAGGTTGGTTGGGCACGGAGGCTTCAGGTAACTGTGCAGAAGTGTCCTTTATAGGGCACGGCTCCTCAGCCTTTGCACTATTGCCTTTGCGGGCCAAATAATTCTTTGTTAGGGGAGGGGTGGACTGAGCTCCACATTGCAGGATGTTGGCAGCACCCCTGGCCTCTAGCCACTAGATGTCAGTGGCGCCCACACCCCCGTCGTGACACCCCTGATTTAGAGCACAGGCCAGGTGTACATGAAGATTGCAAAGTGCCTCTGTAACATTGTAGATAAGAGAGAAAAGGCCTCACCGGCTTACTCGCGTGCGTTCTCTCCAGGCATGATCAAGCAGTTCCTTCGTGACGTGGACTGGGGAGAGGTAGACTACCTTATCGTGGATACCCCGCCCGGCACGTCAGACGAACACCTGTCGGCCGTCCAGTACCTGTCGGCGGCACACATCGATGGGGCTGTGATAATCACCACCCCTCAGGTGAGCAAGCGCCCTGGGGGAGCTGGCTCCAAACTTGGCTGTGTCCAGCCTCGAGACCCATTTCTCGAAGCAGCTCCTGGAACATGTGCTCCAACAGCCCTCAGTGTGGATCCCCAGAAACCTTGTTAAAAGCTTTATGTTTGGTCCAGGCATTTGCTGTTCACAGATAAGCATTCCACAGTTATTTCTGTCCACAGATGAAAGCACTAGCGGCTCAGAATTGCCTTTCATATGTCCTTCACAAAGCCGGCAAGACCCCTTGTGCCGTTCCGATCTGGCTTGTCCCTCGTGGTCACGTCACCCTTACTGTGCTTACACAACCTGCGTGCTGCTTCCGTGCACCTTGTCCGGTTTCCCATCCAGCCGGCCTGGGGTGTAGACCGATTTCTGGATAAGCCGCTGCGGTCCTTGCTCCTCCTTCAGCAATGCCCAGCTCCTGTACCAGTTACCTAGAGGCCGTGCTGAGCCCAAACTAAGGAGAGCACAGGAGTGTCCTCTGGAGCGAATCCAGCAGTGAACAAACGCAGTCCGGTCTGCAACGGGCTTTCTTATCGTTGCCAAGAAAGCAGTAGATTATTCTTTTCAGTTGTACCTTTTTTCACGATATTCTTCTCCGCTCCTAAGAAAGCACAGCAAAGGAGGCTTTAGTCCGTGAATCAGTCCATACCACCCCTCGTGCTTCACCACACCTTCGCAGAGTACCAGCTCTGTGTGGGCCCCGTGCCAGGCACCAGGGAAGCAACAGGCCAGTCCTCCCTCACAGCCTGTGTGGCTCATGGAGGAAGGTGGGGGCCGGACACGAGGCACACACAGGGCTCCAACAACATGTGACAGGCACCGCGCGCCACGTGAAGGTACCCGGGTTGGGGAGTGCTATGGCGGGGTGTGTGTGTGACATCACTCTGGTGCCCTGTGGAGAGGGTCTTGGGGGCACATGGAAGGGCAGGACACCACTTAAGTGGCGAGAGAGGGGAGCACCTGGCCCAGAGGGTAGTAGTGAAGATGGACTTATCCTTAACGATGTTTTTGAATTTTTACCGAGTGGGCCCCACTCTAAACCAGCAGTACTCTCAAGGGCAGGTCCCAAACAAGTTACCTAAAAGGAAAACAATCTATTTGGAACGGAGCACTGTGATGTGGGATGTTGATAGTGGGGAGGTTTATGGGTAGGGGGCAAGGGGCATATGGGAACTCTTTCTGCTCAGTTTGGCTGTGAACATAAAACCACTCTAAAATCATCTATTAAGAAACAACAAAAATCCAGTTGGCACAAAGGTGGCCTCTCCAAAGCCACATTTACTGTGAAAGCGAGCATGGTGTCCTCCTTGGGTTCAAGAGGGAAACAGACTGAGCAGATGCTGGCCCTTCTCCAGGAAGCCGTGGGAGGATGCCCCGCATTTGGTACTCTTCGTGTGGAACGTCTCTGGAGAGTGTGACTTAACAAGTATGGTCACCCACCTTCTCAGAGCCCTTCCCAGCTGCTGGCCCAGGCAGGCGGCTCTCTTTTGGGGGTCCTTTTTGACAGAGCAGGGGCTTTACTTAAAGGACCATTAAGGAGAGAACTGCTGAGGTGCAGTGAGATGCAGAGACTAGTACCAGTTGATACCAGCTTATTTTCTAGCTAAATGCCTTTTTGTCTCTACCTCAATCTCAAAGGGACCGAGAACCAACTGTGTGCGTCAGGAGAAAGAGGTGACTCGAAGCCTTGAACCTTTGGGAGCCCAGGAGTGTTAGAGCCACAGAGGCTGGGGTGTGACCATACTTGACAACAGCAGGCTAGGAATTGTGTGTCTGTGATCCCGTGACCCGGGGAGAAGTAGAGAGGGAACCAAGCCAGGATGATATGCTACTTATTACTGTAAAAGGCGCTTTTGGAGTTCAGAAGTGAATTTGATCTAAATGTGGCAGTATTCCTTATTTTCTTCTTGTCCATAAAGTTGTTTTCGTTCATAATTGTCTAGATCAGAGGTTAGCGAACTTTTTCTATAAAGGGCCAGATAGTAAGTATTTTAGGTTTTGTGAACCACAAGGCGGCCTCTGTTGCAAACACTTGTACCACCGTAGGACAAAAGCAGCCAGTGATAATATAGAGAGGAACGGGCAGGGCTGTGTCCAGAAGTTTATTTAGAAAAATAGATGAGGGCGCCTGTGTGGCTCAGTCAGTTAGGCGTCCCAACTCTAGGTTTCGGTTCAGGTCATGAGATCAAGCCCTGCGTAAGGCTCCGTGCTGGGTGTGGAGAGTCTCCCCCTCATCCACCCCACCCCCCACTTTCTCTCCCCGCCCCCCATAAATAAGTCTTAACACAAAAACAGACATCCAGATGGGACCCACAGGCCATACTTTGCTGTCCCCCTGATCTTGAAAATACAGCACAGTTTGGCTCGGTGTAGTATATTGATGAGAAAATAGAACACGGGGATATTGTAAAAGTCATTTTTCTGTGTATTCGTTGTAAGTTTGCTATTTGGCCGTTCAGGTTTATCCTTTTAGGGTGTGGGGGGAAGTAGCCCCTAGAATAGGGCTCAGCACGTGGTTGGCACTAGAGAGATACTTGGTGAGTAAGTCTTTAAGGCTTTATGCTGGTGAACCCACTGCATCGCACCAGCCATCCCTGCAACCACGCAGACATTCTTTCTTCCACTTTGACTTTGAAATAAATGGTCTTTTGAACCTTGATAGGAGGTGTCCCTCCAGGATGTCCGGAAAGAGATCAACTTCTGCCACAAGGTGAAGCTGCCCATCATCGGAGTGGTAGAGAACATGAGCGTCTTCATCTGCCCGAAGTGCAAGGTGGGAACGCAGCTGCCCGTGGCTCAGCTAAGCGGTCCCTTCTGTGGAGGAGGAAAGCCTGGAAAGGGGTCTCAGCGACACTACTGCTGCTTTTCCCCGTCGTTTTGGGAAGTGCAATCACAAAAATGTCTGTTGCTGAGTTAATGAAAATTCGTCTGGTGGTTAATGTTTCACATTTCAACAGCCATTTTTTTTAAGTTGCTTAAAAATGTCCATTTTTAATGAATCTGAAACAAAATCCTAATTCTCCCTTTAACTTGCCTCCCAGAAAGAAACTCAGATATTCCCACCAACAACGGGGGGTGCAGAGGTCATGTGCCAGGATCTGAAGATCCCGCTCCTCGGAAAAGTGCCTCTGGATCCACACATAGGTGGGTGAGTCTCAACGCCCAGTCCAACCCTCCCTTGCCAGACGGGGCCTTCACACCCCGCTCGCCCACCACGGGCACGACTCTGGATAGGGGGGCAGCAGACGAAGAGCGCACACTCCGGAGCTCCCCTCCAGCCAAGAGAAACCATGAACTGTGAGGGCATGTCGCCATGGGAGTGAGCAGACCTCAGTGTGAGGAGGATGGCGGGGTGGGGCCTGGAAGGTGGGGGTGAAGACGGGTCAGGGATGTGCTCAGACAGGAATTAGGTTCTGAGGTGAAAGTCATGAACAGAATTAGCCTCGTACACCCCTTAGGAAGACATCCTGCCTCCTGCGAGGTCCAGCACAGTGTGCACGGCCCTGTCTCTCTCAGCACTAGACGAGGGTGTTGGCCTGCCTCTAGGGGCCCCATTGCATGAAAAATGCTCCCCCTTTGGTACCGGAGTTCCCTAGGTCCCCTCCAGACACTCCATGAGCGGCAGCAAGACTGAAGGGGGTGGTGGTGGACCCCATCCCCATTCAGTATTCACTTTCCGGTATCAGCTTGCTGAGTGGCATGGTCGGGTCACCCACACTCTTTAAATGACACCTGCCTCCAGGTTTTTGTTTGCCTGAGGTAGAGTTGAACTTAGCTTAGGCTTGCTGCGCCTGTGATGTGTGGAAGTGGTGGGGCGGTAACGTCAGCAGAGGGGCCTGGGCCTGAGGGAAGCCTGGGGAGAAGGCTGGAAGGCAGGCTCGAGCCCACGTGTGGATGGCTCTGCAGCCAAGCCTGGGAGCTGGGCCTTCGGGGGTTAGGAAATGAGAATCGGAGACTGTGGGCATGGGGATGAGTGCTGAGAGGGAGGCCTTCAGGGGGCCCCGCGGGGGAGCGCGGGAAGGAGGCCTAGGGCACAGGGGCATGGAGGAAGAGGGACACACATGTGCGGGAAGGTGACAGGATTTGATGGGTGGGGAGAAAGGTGGCAGATGTCCGAGCCATCTAGCAGATGGGGACATCTCTGAGAAGCAGTGAACACGGGAGGCAGTGTTCGGAGGAGGGCCAGGTTCCACCTCACATGCTGGGTCTCGAGGCAGGGGAGGCCTTAGGTTTGTCAGCAGGTTCAGGAATGTCGTGGGAGGTGCCCTTCCAGGTGAGACTGGGGCATGTAGAGAGGAGGGGCCCAGAGCATGGTGTGGAGGGTGCAGCCTCGAGGGGCCGCGCGGGGACCGAGCGCCTGCTTGGAGAACCCTGGCACCCAGGAGCGGGTCCCGAGACCTTTCCTCACTTGCCCCCTGCCCCGAAACCCCGCCCTGCTCTGTGCTTTCCTCCATGCAACACAGAAAACTCCAGCTGCTTCTTAGCAGGGGTACAGACACCCAGGAAGGTGACTGTTGGCACTGACCAGACGTGGTGCTGAGTTTCCCCACCTTTTCCCTGCAGGTGCGGGAGCAAGCGTCTCCTGCTCAAAGGCCCTCGGGGCAGGTAGACGGCAGGAATGCGTGCGGGTGGGCCGTGGCCTCCTGGCACTCTCGCTGCTGTCAGCCTCTGCCTATGCCACGGCCTGTGACCAGGTCCCTAGGGCAGGAGTGGTGGGCAAGAGATTAGGGGGATGCCTGGCAGAGAATGGGAAGGAGAGAGGAAGGGGGAGGTGTGTGCCTTCCTGCCTGGCTCCGGCTTCAGCCAGGCTTTTCTTTTTCGGGCCATTTTCCACAAAGAAGCCAAGTTCTGAGCACTTTACAGTAGATGCTAGCAAAGCAGAGGACCCCGACTACAGCTGCTGCGCAGTCCCAAGCTCAGAGAATGAAGTGCCTTCTAGTGGACAGGCCTGTGTGACAAGTTACGGGGCCTCGAGCCTCACTTGTAGCTGAAATCACGAGGCCGGCGAGCATCAGAGCAGGGTGGTTAGCACTGTCCTCTGCTGGGAAGGACGACAAAGCTGTGAGGTCACTGTGGACCCCCGCCCCCCCACCGCCAGAGCTCTTTTTGTCTAGTGGGAGCAAAGGCAGATTCCTGGGAACAGACCAGAAGCTGTGAAGGCACACACTCCAGGCCACGCTGGGAACGCCATGGCAAAAGGAGGTGCTGCCTCTCTGGCCCCCAGATTCTCAGCCCTGCCCGGGCCCCACAGCCCTGCTCTTGCTCCGCCAGCTGGGGGCGCCACGCCCCGATGGCCTCATCTGTCGGAGCAGGTGGTAACCGGAGGGGAGTTGTGGAGACGACACCAGAGGAGCCCCAGAAATTCTCAGAAATGAGCTCTTCAGACAGTAATGCCTGTTCTTGGGAGCACAGTGAGAGCAAAGGGGTCCCAACCAGGGCTGTGAAAATCAGTACACACTGCCCATTAGGTGACTGTTCTGGGACCTGGGACTTCCCAGAACTAGTCCGGCACATTCCCAGGGTAGCCTGCACTCATTTGGGTTCCACCTCTGCCAGCCCCTTCTCCTGGCTCCTTCTGTCCCTCGGTTTCCCTGTCTCGGGGCAGTGGCCCTTCCCAGGGCCCACCTGAGGTTGGGGAGCAGCTGGGAGCAGAACCATGGACCTGTTCTGCAGGAGTGCAGAGCAGGCGGACGGGAGGGGCTCTGCCCAGGCAGTCTCCTTGCATGGGTGTATTTAGGTTCCCATTCAGCTGGTGTGTGTCCTCAGCTTTGCTTTTCACTATAAGCGAGGGGGAGCTCAAGTTCTTAATGTCACAGGCCCAAAAGAGCCCCTAGTTCACCTTGCCCGTTTTCTTCATGGATTTTTTTTTTTTTCTTTTTCACTTTTCTAAGGTAAGAGTTGCGACAAAGGACAGTCTTTTTTGATGGACGCACCGGATTCTCCAGCCACTTTTGCCTACAGAAGTATCATTCAAAGTATGTGTATGCGTGAGTCCTGTGAATTCAGAGGGCTGCCTGGCTGGGTGTGAAGATCCCCCTTAGAGCCCTTTATGGGTCATCAGGGTCACTGCCCTTCACCTCAGGTGGAGACAGTCATGCTTGTGGGGGCTGGGATGACCCCTCAGCCCAGGAAGCTAGGAATCTTTGAGTAAGTGGTTGGGGGATGGCGGGAACACCATGTGCAAGCCTGAGTGTGCTGGTCATTGGCCCCCTGGGGCCTGGATTTTAAGGCAGCTGGGGTGGGGACAGTCATTAAAGCTATAGGCTCTTGGTCTGTGGCAAGTTCCTTTTGCCCAGGAAAATGGTGTCCAGGGCAGAGAGCAGCATTCCTGGGCTTCTGGATCTGTGGAATGGGCTGATGTAAGATCTCCAGCCATACACTTTCGAAGAGTCAGGGCATCGGCAGAAACAGGACCATTTGGGGAGTTCAGCCATGCGGTGATTCGGCCCTCGCCAACAGAGGCAGGGCTGCCTGAGAAACGGGCACACCACCACTGCGTTGTCTCATGTTCCAGGAATTCAGGAGTTCTGTGGTCACCATCCCCCGAAAGAAGAGCACTTCCTCAGTTCCTGAAACACACGAGAGCATTTGAGACGCAAGCTGCACGTGCAACTCAGCCTGAGCAGCCTGGGGACAGTGTGGGGGTCTTGGGCAGAAAGGGACCAGATTCTGCTAGGGTGTGAAGTCATTTTTGCAGAGACACTTTAATTGTAGTATTTACACTTTTCGACATATATAAAGGCATTCTTTACAAACATGTTGTCTTAAGAATAAAAATGTCTCCTCAAACCTCTCCCCCAAGGCCTGCTTCCGGGAAACCAACAGCTTGTTGGTCAGGGAACTCTTCTCTGCTGGAAGCTTTTTTAAGGACCGAACCTCTTGCTTCAGCCACTGTGGCCTCCAAAGAGATGCCTAAAAAGGAACCATTGCAAAATCCACAGTCATGGTTTAGAATAACAAGGTCCAAATGCCACTGCTTTAGATTGAGGGGAAAATGAAGATGGCCCCGAAAAGCCCTTAAATCACCCATGTAAACAGAACAGGGTGTCTGTGCCCGTGTCCCATGAACTAATGTGTTCACTGTCCAGTCATTTCCAGTGTCCTACAAGACCATTTATAGGGTTTTTTTTTAATTACTTGAAGAGACCGACCTAAACTCTAGAATTCTCCTCACTGCCAGGATATGCACAGGAACTGACAACTGAGGGAAGAGGTAATTCCCGTTTTCCAGCTCCCTCCGGGCATTCATGGAAGGATGGGCAAATCCCTTGGTTCTCTCCCTCTCCCCTCCTTTCCTTCTCCTCCCTTCATGCCTGCACCCATGGTCAAATTTGCGCATGTTCCATGGGAGGAGAGAGGGAGGGGGCCGGGAAGCCCTGGGAGGGCCCCGTGCCCAGGCGCCCCCGGCTGGCTCCCGCCCTGCTGTGCGCCCTGGCCCACTGGCACAGCTGAGCCCCGACCTCCACCTCCATCCTGCCTCTCACCTAATGCTTGTGAATCTCCAGCCCCTCAAGGCCAGGCTTCTGGAAGTCACTTGGGCTGGCCTGCAAGGAGAAAAGTCAACTGTGGCTTTGTCCTCACACAGGAGGGGCCTGATTCTCCTGATGCAAGGGCCAGAGCAAACCCACAACGTAACCGAAAGCCCAGAGGGCTCATTGCTCAATGTCTTGGCATAAGGTAGTACTGTTTAAATTTTAACATAGCTCAAACAGTCAAATTGAAAAGATCTCACACTTCAGAAATAAATGTTAGGTTAAAGGAATTCTGTGGGTGTAGTACTTAATGCTGTAGTTTTTAAATCCCTTAAAACTAACAGTGGCAGTCACCAATACTGTAGGATTCCACTTATGTGAGGGCCCTAGAAGAGTCCGATTCATAGAGCAAAATAGATGGTGGGAGGCTGGGGAGGAGAGACCAGGAGTTACTATGTCATGGGGACAGCATCTCAGTTTGGGGTGATGAAAAAGTGCGGTGAGGGACAGTGGTGATGGTTGCATGAAAGCGCGAGTGTATTTAACACCACTGACTCGTTTAAAGTGGTCAATTTTACGTTGTGCCTATTTTAACATACACACACACACACACTAACCCTGGCAGCCTAGCTGATCAGGAAAACGTTAAAATCACATTTGCCAGTAGGCCACCTGTGCTTAAAGCATCTGGAGCGCAGGGCTCCAGGAGTGAGAGCTCAGTAACTCACCGTCTGGAACACCGTCGGGGACAGAAAACGGGCTGTGACTTTGCTGATGTCACTCTCACCTCCCATTTTACAAAGGATGTAGCCATACAGGTTAGCGGCTTGGAGAGAAATCCCAGCTATCACAAGGGCCTGCACGCAGACAAAGCAAAGGTCGTTCTTCTAAGAGCACGTATTGAAATTTTCCTCCCAAACTACATAGCAGTGGCTCTGGCCTGTACCTGGTAACAGCCAACCTTTCTTGAGCACTCAAATAATCACAGACACTTTTTAGTCAGCAACAACCCAAGAGGGTGGTACCATTATCATCCCATTTGTAGGGAAGAAACTGAAACCCAGAGAAAGGAAAGTTGCCCGAAGTCCCAGAGTTGATGCCTGGCTGGGCCAACAGCCAAACTCCAGAGCCCCCACTTTTGATTACGCTGCTACTTCTACCATCTATGGATGTTTTCTCACTGAAGGAGCCAGATCACAGCAATTAAATATTTGAGTAATAAAACTAAAATAGGGGCGCCTGGGCGGCACAGTCAGTTGAGCATCCGGCTCTTGGTCTCAGCTCAGATTTTGATCTCAGGGTCATGAGTTTGGAGCCCTGCATTGGGCTCCATGCTGGGTCGGGAGTGTACTTAAAACCTGTAAAAACTTCAGACCTCAGGCTTGCTTATTCCTATTTAGGAACATTCTAAGGTAGGATATCACATGATTTTGCTTACAACTCGTCTCTCAGCATTATTCATAGGAGTCCAAAAGATACACCCAAATGTCCATCAGCGGATGAATGGAGAAACAACACAGCATGTCCACATGATGGAATATTACACAGCCATTAAAAAAAAGGACTGATAAATGCTACAACACAGATGAACCTTGAAATTCGGTGTTAAGTGAAAGAAGGGTACAAACGATCACACTAAAGAATTCCAGTTACAGGCAACGTCTAGAATAGGTTAAGTGTTGGAACAGAAAGAGGAGTATGCCAGGCGCTGGAGGTGGTGATGGCTAGAGGGTACAGGGCTCCTTTTGGGGGTGCTGAAAATATCCTAAAATGGGCTGTGGTGACGACCGCACACTGAATAGACTAGAAGCCCCCTGCATTGCACGTGCTAAATGGGTGGACTGTACGGTATGTCAATGGCCTCAGCAAAGTCTCAAATCAACGGACAGATAAGAAAACCCACTCCTGCAACCCTGGTCTGTGCAGATGGCAAAACACCATCCGAGTCGGGGTATCGCCTTACCAGCCACTTGAGCTTCAAGGAGAATAAGGTGCTAAAGAAGAACACGATCCAAATGAGCGGGCAGATGATGAGGCCGAGCCAGAAGATGCGAGCTTCAGCCTCTGTGGCAGCGATCTGATTCGGAGAGGCCTGTTAAAGGGAGAAAGAGTCCGTGTTCAAAATGAGTAAAAACGGTCGCAGAGCAGCCCGCGGTCCTCTTGGCTTCTCATCCGCGGACTTCTGCTACCCGCTGGTTTTGGTGGTGCCCCCGCAGCGGTGGGCTCGGCCCTAGGTGGGAATCCGATCTGCACAAAGCCCAGAAGGGACCCATGCAAACTTTCCACGCCATTTTCCTGGTTCGAGTTTGACTCGTAATGGACAATACCTTTCTGGCTTCAAAAATCCAGTGGCTTTTCCCATCTTCATCTATCTGGTTCCACCAGCGGAGGCCCACCATGAGTCTCCCGGTTACGTTCTGGGGGAAATGGACAGAAGGACTCTAAGCACGCCACAGGGAAAGAAAGTCATTGTCTTTTCACTGATGAACAAAATAAAAGTCAGCAGTTTGTGTTGAACTTATCCTGGGAGCAGGAGAGGTAAGCTGAACTAAGCTTACCTTAACCAGTGATTTCCCCACCCTGTGCACACGTGCACACACACCCCCAAACAATATGCAGCAATATGTACTTTAAATATATGCAAATTTTAGCAAAAAAAACCCCAAGCTGTAGGGAGTTGCCACCCTCATGACATACATATCTGCAACCACGGCAGCTGAGAACCAGGACCATTTTCTAACTCTTAACAATGTTTAAGTGATGTTGGCTCACTATTTCTAAGGATCTGCAGTTTCGAAGAAAAGTACCTTTTGGCCCAAATCAGCCACGTGCCTCGGGAATGTTAGTGACCACAGCCCTCGTGCGTTCACGAGTGATGGCATCACGAGTGAGGGGGCCTTACCTTCACAGACCAGAAGTCAAAGGACAGGAGGAGGAGCACGGTGACGAAGCAGCCCACAAAGCTTCTGCTGAACCAGTCGCAGCACACATAGGTGACAATGGCACTCACCCGGAAAAACAGGTGGAAAAAGGTGGCCAGCGGGTGCCTAGGGAAGAACCCAGAAGCCCCCTCACTGCAAAGTCCAAGAGGGCAAGCACCAGACTCACTGTATGGGTTCTGACTCCCCATGCTCTGCCCCGGGCACTTCAAGCCCCGCTCCATCAGGCGGCAGGTCTGAGAACGTCAGCAAATCAGAAGTGCTGAAACAGTCATCGTACCAGCATCTTTGCCCTCTCAAAGAATCCAGTACTTTCCCCTCATTTGATTCCAAATATCATGGGCCCCCTTCGAAACTCGGCCACCTTTGAAGTGAAACAGGACAGTGGTCACTGCCTTCCCACCTGGTAGTGATAAGGACCAGTTCCCTAAAGGTAAAGGTTGGGTTATTCCACCAGTAACTGAGCAGGCCGCCTGCAGCCCACAGGTGCAGAATCTCGTGTCACTGGGGAACCCATGTTCCTGGATAGAGGGAAATCATGACTCATCCCACATCAGTTGCTTTAAAGAAAAGTCTAGAAAGGCCAGAGACCCAAGGCTAGCTCGAGCACAAGGGCTGCCCACGTATCCAGAGCAGAGAGAACACATGCCCATAGGGGTCCGGCAGTTGATGGTGGGGGGTGGGGGGACATGGGCCAGGTAGAAGACCCTCACACCATTCTGTTTTCTCTTTGGAATCCACTTTGGTAGAGCACAAGTAGAAAGAACTCAGATGGAGAAAGCCACAGTGCAAGCCAGGTGGCAGATGGCAATGAAAGCAGCAGCCAGCACTGGGAGGGAGGGGCAGGAGGAGCAGGCCGCCCCACCAGGACTGCCAGACCCGCTGTTTGCATGAAAAGCCAGGAATTCAGAGTTGCGACAGGAAAATGTTTTTACGTGACGGCGACTAATAACGCTAATAAAATAGCGCAGGCTGTGTTGCATGCTGGCTCACAAGCCTCCATCTGACAACCCCTCGGGTGCTCAGAGAGGTAGCCAGCAGACCTGGAGCTGCATCGGGGAGGGACCTGCTCATCCTCCCAAGGAAGGACCGTGCAGAGAAAGCAAACTGGACTCCTAGGGAATTGTGTGGTCCTGACTCTCAAGGGAACAGGACGGACTCGGAAGCAGGATTTATAGTGAGCTCTGCATTTACTCCTGATATTCCAAAGGAAGAAGAAGCAGTGCCAAAACCCCAGCTATCTGCCACAGCGCTTCTCACCTGCGCCTTTCAGATGCTGAGCTCTCCTGGCGGCCTGGCGCAAGCCAGCCTGGGACATGGACCCGGCCCTGAAGAGTCAGACATGATCCGTACGCCCTCCACATCCGGAATGTCCCCGAAGATTATACCCTTGGGGGTCTCTCATACCCTCTTTTTTTTATTATTATTTTTTTAAAGATTTCATTTATTTATTTGAAAGAAAGACACAGCGAGAGAGGTAACACAAGCAGGGGGAGTGGGAGAGGGAGAAACAGGCTTCCTGCGGAGCAGGGAGCCCGATGCGGGGCTCGATCCCAGGATCCAGGGACCATGACCCGAGCCGAAGGCAGACGCCCAACAACTGAGCCACCCAGGCGCCCCAATACCCTTGTTTTTAAATAAATGTTTGCTATTACATTTTATTGCCTTTTTTTTTTTGAGAGCGCGCACACAGGGTGGCGGGGTGGGGGGGCACAGGGACAGAATCTCAAGCAGACTCCCTGCTAAGCGTGGAGCCCAACACAGAGCTCCATCCCATGACTCTGAGATCAAGACCTGAGCCGAAACCCAGAGTAGGGCACTCAGTCGAATGAGCCACGCAGGCACCCCTTCTCTTATACCATTTTAACCTTAAATCTTCCTGAGGATCTTTTAACTAAATGTCTTAATACAATCTTGCCTCTTCGCCCTGAACATGAAGGAGTCCTCTATACAGTAACCGAAAATTCTTTGAGGGCAGAAGCCATGTTTGAGATCATTTTATGTCCCCAATAGCACCTGGCATTTAAGTTTCTCGGCCAATATTTGTTGCGTCGAGCCTTGAAATTGGGTCTGTATTGTAGAAAAGTATAGACTTGTACGAGACCCACATGGACACTGTTCCAGAGTAAAACCTGGAAGTTAATGCATTCGAATAAATCCCCTACCCACCCAATTTTTTTCGGCTGTGGTTTCCTAAAATGCAGAGAAATTCCCATCGTTGGAAGGTTCTGCTTAGTTGGGTCCCAGTTAAGTGATGTCCTTAACTTGTAATGGAAAGTACCATTACCATGGCCACTATCATTACGCAGACAAAGCCCGAAGTAGAAGAGGTTGCCAATGGCACTCTAAAGTACTGCTTTCATCCCGTTTGATGCAGGCCGTCCTCTGGGCCACCTGCCAAACCCTCCTTCAGTCCACCTCTGGAGTTTGCCCAGCCTGTGGCCCCTGTCAACACTCAAGTGCTCTCAGACCAGCTTCCTGGTTTTGAGAGTTGTGAAGGCCATGGCTTATACCTGTCCACCCTTCCCTGCCACGGGGTCCTCCAGCCCCCAGGGCTCTGTCACCTCTGCAGCCACAGAACACACATGCGCACCGACAGTCACCTCCACCTCCCGAAGCCACTGGCTTCCAACTCCACCCTCCCAGACACCCAGGAGAGGTAACCAGGCCAGAGGTGCCAGACTGCCAGCGTTCAAATCCTGGTGCCAACCTCAGAGTAGCTCTGCGGCCCGCCCTCAGCCACACAACCCGTGGACACCTCAGTCTCCACTTCCGTAAAATGGGAATGCTGACAGTGGCCACTTCCTCGCTATTAAAAGATCAAGTGGAGAAAAAAAAAAAAAAAAAAAAAGATCAAGTGAAGGTGGCACATAGAAAGTGCCTGAAACCCAGACCGTGCTCAGGGACCATGACAAGCTTACCTCAGCCCTCAGTCACTCGAAACTGATCCACCTCCAAGGAGCCCAACTGCGAAATTCCCCACTTGACCACAACTTTCTCACTAGCCAGGGGCAGACATTCACCTCTGCAGGGATCCCCCATGTCTCCTGACTTCTCCATATTCCCCCGTCCCTCCACTTCACCGAAGAACCTTTCCCTTTCCTCAGCTTTAACAGTGCTTTCCACTCGCCAGGTAGGAAGGAGCCTGCTACTGGAGGTGAGCAGGAGGAGGGGAGGACAGACTGAACGGGAGAGGAGATTACTTCAAGGGTGGTCAAGGTGGGGAGAGTCTGGCTGGGCTTCGGTTTAAGTTTAAATCCATTTTCACAGTCCTGGGCCCCACAACTGCAGTCTTCCTCCTTGGAGAAAACTCAGAAGGTTCTCAGCTTGGAATGCGCATGAAAGCCAACTGAGGAAACTTTAGGAAGTGCACAAGGCCACCCCTCCCAGGGCATGTGGGGTCAGACCTGGAGTGCAGCCCAAAGCTGGATTTTGCAAAGAAAAAGCCCTGCTCTACACTGGATTCATAATCTCTGGCCCCGGAGCCCAATCTGGCCCACTTCCTGTTTCTGTAAGTAAAGTTTTATTGGAACATAGCCATACTTATTCATCCGGTAGCCTGCAGTCGAAAATATTTACCCAGAAATTGTGCCAACCTTTCTGCTCCAGACCAGCATGAACAATGAGGAAATTAGGTGCTGTTCAAAACAAACCAAAATAAAGCATACTGCTATTAATGGCCCCAACACCCCCCCCCCCAAAAAAAATCTGCTTTCAAAAGCAGGGTGGAAGCTGGCTGACTGGCAGAACTAAGGGATGGTGCTAGAGGTCAGAGGAGTGTCTGCGGGTGGTTGAGAGGACACCGCCTGAGATGGTATGTAAACAGAGGTGCTGGACACACTCCATATCTTGATCTCGTGTATATACACACGTACAAAAGTTCAAAGCATCCATTAAGATGAGCGCACTTTATGTACGTTACACCTTTAAAAAGCTTTGATTGAAGGGCGCCTGGGTGGCTCAGTCGTTGGGCGTCTGCCTTCGGCTCAGGTCCTGATCCCAGGGTCCTGGGATCGAGTCCCACATCGAGCTCCCTGCTTGGCGGGAAGCCTGCTTCTCCCTCTCCCACTCCCCCTGCTTGTGTTCCCTCTCTCGCTGTATCTCTCTCTGTCAAATAAATATATAAATCTTTAAAAAAAAAAAAGTTTTGATTAAAGCCACTGACCAAAGAGAAATCTTTGCAAATCACGCTAAAAATTCTCTATGTGATACAATCCAGCAATCGCACTACTCAGAATTTTCCCAAAGGAGTTGAAAACTTAGGTCCACGCCTGCCAGCAGGACACAGATATTTATAGCAACTCTATGTATGCATCATTGCCCCAAATTGGGAGCAACCAAGATATCCTTAACAGATGAATGGATAAAATGGATAAACTTTCACACACAGTGACACTTTAGCACTACAAAGAAATGAGCTCTCAAGCCACGAAAAGACAAGGAGGAACCTTAAATGCTTATTACAAAATGAAAGAAGCCAGTCTGAAAAGGCTGCTTGCTGTAGGACCCCAACCCTAGGACGTTCTGGAAAAGACTAAACAAAGGACACAGTAAAAAAAAAAAAAAAAAAAATGGTTTCCAGAGGTTAGTGGGGGAGGTGGGTATGAATACGAAGAGCACGGGACTTTCAGGGTAGTGAAACTACTCCGTTTGACACAGTAATGGTGGATCGATGTCATTACGCATTTGTCATAGCCGAGACAATGCACAGGGATGAAGCTTCGTGTAAAGGGTGGACTGTAGGTAACAATGCTGTGTTGATTCATCATTTGTAATAAATATAAGACACTAATTAATGTAAGATGTTAATAGGGGGAACTTCTGGGTGGGGGGCGGGACTTATGGGAACTCTACTTTTTGCTCAGTTTTCCTGTAAACCTAAAAGTACTCTAAAAAATGGACACAGGCGGTGGCTGGGAGGTGGGGGGCTGTGTCTAAACAGATTAAATAGAGTAAAATCAGGGGAGAACCATGCCCCATAGTCATACATACCCCCTTTTCCCATAAACTTCTCGGGCAGGTCTGACCTGAGGGGAGAAGGTTGGTTTAATCCTAAATTCAGCAGGAATTGAACAGTATCTTAAAAAGCTGTCCTTCATTTCACTATT